TTTAGAAATTTCTGGAAAAATTATGAACTCGAGAACCGAAAAGTTACTGTTTCTAATTTTTTTTTCTTCAATTTTTCAAAAGTTTTGATCTCTTTCAGTCTTTGCGACAAAATGTATTACGCTCGAATTCCAAAATTCCGAATTCCAGAATTTCTGAATTTCTGAAAATTCTGAATTTCTGAATTTCTGAATTTCTGAATATCTGAATTTCTGAATTTCTGAATTTCTGAATTTCTGAATTCCAGAATTTCTGAATATCTGAATTTCTGAATTTCTGAATTTCTAAATTTCTGAATTTCTGAATATCGGAATTTCTAAATTTCTGAATATCTGAATTTCTGAATTACTGAATTTCTGAATTTCTGAATTTCAGAATTTTGGAATTTCTGAATATCGGAATTTCTAAATTTCTGAATATCTGAATTTCTGAATTACTGAATTTCTGAATTTCTGAATTTCAGAATTTTGGAATTTCTGAATATCGGAATTTCTAAATTTCTGAATATCTGAATTTCTGAATTACTGAATTACTGAATTTCTGAATTTCTGAATTTCTGAATTTCTGAATTTCTGAATTTCTGTATTTCTGAATTTCTGTATTTCTGAATTTCTGAATTTCTGTATTTCTGAATTTCTGAATTTCTGAATTACTAAATTTTGGAATTTCTGTATTTCTGAATTTCTGAATTTCTGAATTTCTGAATTTCTGAATTTCTGAATTTCTGAATTTCTAATTTCCGATTTTCTGAATTTCTGAATTTCTGAATTTCTGAATTTCCGAATTTCTGAATTTCTGAATTTCTGAATTTCTGAATTTCTGAATTTCTGAATTTCTGTATTTCTGAATTTCTGAATTTCTGTATTTCTGAATTTCTGTATTTCTGAATTTCTGAATTTCTGTATTTCTGAATTTCTGAATTTCTGAATTACTAAATTTTGGAATTTCTGTATTTCTGAATTTCTGAATTTCTGAATTTCTGTATTTCTGAATTTCTGAATTTCTGAATTTCTGAATTTCTGAATTTCTGTATTTCTGAATTTCTGAATTTCCGAATTTCTGAATTTCTGAATTTCTGAATTTCTGAATTTCTGAATTTCTGAATTTCTGAATTTCTGAATTTCTGTATTTCTGAATTTCTGAATTTCTGAATTTCTGAATCTGAATTTCTGAATTTCTGAATTTCTGAATTACTAAATTTTGGAATTTCTGAATTTCTGACTATTTAGAAAATTCTAATTTTCCCCGAAAACCATCAATTATAGCCAATTGTGAACAAAAAATTTGAGTTTCCCGCATATTTTTACTTTTAAAAACACTATTTTTGAGCGAATCGTGCGTTTTGTCGTAAGCTTCGGTGTTTCGGTTCGGTGTTTGCACAGAATCGCCGCTACAGTAACCCAAAAAGAGAGTATGAGATGCAGAAAAATGCATTCAGGGGTAGTTTCTGATGGGGAATTCAAATCCGTTCTTTATTTTAACAATTCTCAACAGTTTCAACCTGAAAATTCTAGTTTCTTCCAGAAAATGTCTCAATTATTCGCTGGAAAAGCCCTTATCAACCAAAAAGGGGAGGAAATCAATGCGGAAGAAGCCCTAAAGGATAAGAAAATCGTCGGACTCTATTTCTCAGCCATGTGGTGTGGTTCTTGCCGTCAATTTACTCCAAAACTCAAAAGATTCTATGAGGCACTGAAAGCGGCTGGGAAGGATATTGAAATTGTGTTGGTCTCGAGAGATAGGGAGAAGGAGGACTTGTTGGAGTATTTGGAGCATGGAGGAGAATGGGTTGCCATTCCATTTGGGGATGAGAGAATCCAGTGGGTTGGGAACTACAGTATCCAATTTGAATTTTGGAAAAATATTGATTTTGAATTGAGTTACGCCTCAAGATTTGACCATAGTTGAAATTTGGCTTCTAACTTTCTTCAAAATCAAGCTTTTTGGGAGATTCAAATTGATAAAAGTGAATTTTTAAAATGCTGAAAATGAAGAAATTTTCATGATCTACAGTATCCTTTCCGAATTTTTTGAAAATGTCGATTTTGAAGAAAGTTATAAGCAAAAAACATCTAACTTTCTTCAAAATCAACATTTTATAAAAATTCAAGTTGGAAAATGTAGATTTTGAAATTCTCTACAAAACTGTTAATTTTTTGAAAATTTCAAAATTCTATTAATAGCTTCAAAGTCTACAGTATCCAATTTGAATTTTTCAAAAATCTTGATTTTGAAGAATGTTATGACCCAAAACAGCTCAAAATTAAAATTTTCCAGACCCAAATGTCCCGCCAAATTCAAATTTTTCAATTATTTTGATTTTTAGAGAGTTCCTCAAGAAGTACGAGGTCCCAACCATCCCAGCATTCAAATTGATCAATTCTGCCGGAGAATTGCTCCATGATGCTCGTGCCGACGTCACTGAACGTGGAAAGGACGATGCTGTTGCTCTTTTCGAGGAATGGGTCCAAAAGTTCCCAGCTAATTAGTCTAATTGCCCAATTAATGAAAAATATGGAAATTTTGAAATTTTTTGATGTAAAATGTGCATTTTTTGGTGGTCTTTTGACTATTTTTCAAGCAATAAATATGACTTTTTATGTTTTTTTTTCTTAAAAATTGCAATTTTCAGGGCTTTATCTTATTCTAATTATATAATTATTAGGAAAATCGCATTCTCCATCAAAAACTACCCAACAATACATTTTTCTGCGTCTCTAGCTCTCTTTTTTGGGTTACTGTAGCGCCGATTCTGTGCAAACACCGAACCCAAACACCGAACCTTCCGACAGAATGCACAAATCGCTCAAAAACAGTTGTTTCAGGGGTAAAAACATGCGGAGAATTCGAATTTTGCAATTAAAACTTTCTATGATTCGTGGTTTTCCGGGAAAATAGGAATTTTCAAAAAACATTTTGGATTTTCAACATTTCTGGACGTTTTTGAGGAATTTGATTGTCAAATTGTCAAATTCAAATTTCCCATGAAAAACTACTCTAGCATGCATGTTTCTGCGTCTCCAACTCTCAATTTTGGGTTTTTGGGTTACTGTAGCGCCGATCCTGTGCAAACACCGAACCCAAACACCGAACCTTACGACAGAATGCACAAATCGCTCAATAAAAATCTTTTAGGGGTGAAAACATGCGGAGATTTTGAATTTTGATAGTAAAATTCTTTAGAATTTGTGGTTTTCCCGCAAAATTGGAGTTTTTCGAAAAAAAATTATTAAATTTTGTAGTTTTTTGATAAAAATTTGCAGTTTTCGAGAAAGTTTAAACCAGAAATTTCTGATTTTTTGGAATTTTTTTCTTGTGTAGGTGGACACCAATAAACACATCATTTTCCATTACAATTCTAATTTTTTATATCTTTGATTTTCAATTTTTTCCCCACTGATAAGAACATATAAAATACACACAATAGAACCTGAAAACCATCGATTTTCACCACAAAAAATGATAAAATTCTTGATTTTTCTGAGTTTTTTCATATTTTCTGTGAAATCTGGACCATGCTTGGATTCTATACTAACTTGTCCAGACTTGAAGACTTTTTGCCTAGACGAGTCAGTTCAAAGGTAAATTTTCAAAGAAAAATATTGATTTTGAGCAGTTTTTAACTAAAAATTCGAATTCCCCGCCTATTTTAACCACTTGCTAGCTGGTTTTTGAGCGATTTGTGCATTTTGTCGTAAGGTTCGGTGTTTGGCTTCGGTGTTTGCACAGAATCGGCGCTACAGTAACCCGAAAATTCAAAATTGAGAGTTAGAGACGCAGAAAAAAGCATTCTGGAGTGAGATTTTGTGGGGAATTCGGATCTGACACTATTTTTCGATTTAGAGCGTTTTAAATTTTATTTTTAAATAGAAAATCAGCATTTTCTGAATAACCATCTATCTTAAACGATTTTTACCGCGAAATTTGAATTTCCCGCCTATTTTTACCCCTTGCTAGCTGGTTTTTGAGCGATTTGTGCATTTTTTTGTAAGGTTCGGTGTTTGGGTTTCGTGTTTGCACAGAATCGGCGCTACAGTAACCCGAAAACTCAAAAATGAGAGTTAGAGACGCAGAAAAATGCATTCTGAAGTGAAATTATGTGGGAAATCCAAATTTGACAATCACAATCCTTCAAAAATATCCAGAAAATCCAAAAACCAAAAATTTTGTGAAAATTGTCATTTTTCAAAAAGCCCCTAGCCAATTTTTCAAAGGTTTTAAACAATTTTTACTACGAAATTCGAATTTCTCGCTTATTTTTACCCTTGGATAAATAGTTTTTAGAGAATTTGTGCATTTTGTCGTAAGGTTCGGTGTTTGAGTTTGGTGTTTGCACAGAATCGGCGCTACAGTAACCCAAAAAAAGAGTTAGAGACGCAGAAAAATGCACTCTAGAGTAGTTTTTGATGGGAAGTTCAAATTTGACCCTTAAATTTTCCAGCCAATGCCCCCTAACCTGTGGAGTCTGTCAACAGGATCCCAATCTTTGTATGGACACCAATTTGGAGTGTGAAACATTCTCAATTCAATGTTCTCAAGAGGATTATCAGAAGTGAGCTACAGTAATCCAGGAAAACCTGCATATCCAATTTTCAGACAGTGTCCAAAAACTTGTGGTACTTGTAAGGATGGTAGTACAGTAGTTCCAAGAACTACAGTACCTCTAAGAACTACAGTAATCCCTGATTGTGTGGACCATTTAATAGAATGTCCCCAATTTTCTAAGCCCTGTAGCGATGGATTAGCATTGTGAGTACGGTATCTGTCTGTGTGCCGAGATGTCCCGATTTCCAGACAATGTCCATTGAGTTGTGGGATTTGTAATGGAACTACAGTAGTCCCAAGGACCACTGAACCCCAAACAATCATAGTAGCTCCAACAACGCTTATGAGAACTACAGTACCCCCTCAAACTACAAAAAAGCCGACCCCAACAACTCCAAAACCACCATGCAAGGATGCGTCGCCAAAGTGAGTTTTTTTGAAATTGGCGCCAAAATTTTTTTCGCCGCCAAAAATTCAAAATTCAAATTTTTCAGTTGCGTTGGATGGGCGAAAAATGGATTCTGCACCAACACATTCTATCCACCGGAGAAGAGAAAAGAATATTGTGCCAAAACTTGTAAATATTGCTAATTACCCTCTAATTAAATATTTTAATTGGTCAATAAATTATTTGAACTTGCTCTAAAGTGAAAAATTGTGTCGAATTTGGATTCAGCATTAAAAACTAGCTTAAAACCCACTTTTCTGCGTCTCTACCTCTCAATTTCTGGTTTTCGGGTTACTGTAGCGCCGATTCTGTGCAAACACCAACCGGAACACCGAACCTTACGACAAAATGCACAAAACGCGCAAAAATAGACGTTCCAGGGGTAAAAATAGGCGGAGAATCCGAAATTCGTAATGAAAACTGTCTACAATTGATGGTTTTTCTGATATACTGTGCGAAGACGTGTAAATATAGCTAATTACCCTCTAATTAACTATTTTAATTAGTCAATAAATTATTTGAACTTGCTCGGAAGTGAAAAATTGTGTCAGATTTGGATTCAGCATTAAAAACTAGCCTAGAATGCAACGCTTCCTATCTGATAAGCAAAAATTTTGAAGATAAATCATGGTTTTTTTCAATGAGCTGTAACTTGGCTCAGAATTGAGCTAGATTGATTTTGAAACATGGAAAATGTTGGAAACTTTATGCTGAGTCATTTTGTAGTTTGTAGCTTTTTGATATCTCACATGGTTCCTGAGATAGAGACGCAGACAGCTAGAGTGTCTAGCTTCTCTGCGCCCCTCCCCCCCCCTTGTTTAAAGGCGCTTATCTGAAAAACTAGAGAAGCTCGACGAATATTGTAAATTGTAAAATTGCTCAGCATAACGTTTTCTGCATTTTCTATTTTTTAAAATTTATCTAGCTCAATTTTGAGCCAAGTTATGCGCCTGTTCGCGTTACAGTACCCCGAAAAGCCGGAAATGAGAGTTAGAGACGCAGCAAAATGCGTTTTAGCGTAATTTTTGAAGGAGAATTCGAATTTGATAACAAAAACCTATGAAAATTCAAAAAAAAATGCTCTAAAAATTGGGGTTTTCTGAAAATTTATGATATTGTCACCTATAAATTGCGTCGAGTCGTAGTTTTTGTCAGCAAATTCGGATTTTTTGATAACATTCGTTCAAAGTTTCATTTTTCACAATGAATTCAGGGTTTTCTTAATTTTGTCGTGAGATATGATGTCCAAATTTCCTTTTTAGGAGACAACATTCAAAATTTGCCATTTTCTGGACAAATTATTGATTTTTGGTGATTTTTAATGCAAAAATCGGATTCCCCACCTATTTTTATCTCTAAAACCATCATCTTTGGACGATTTGTGTATTTTGTCGTAAGGTTCGGTGTTTCGCTTAGTGTTTGCACAGAATCGGCGCTACAGTAACCCGAAAACCAGAAATTGAGAGGTAGAGACGCAGAAAAGTGGGTTTTAGGGTAGTTTTTTATGGGAATTCCAAATCTGACCATATTTCTCACTTCCGAGCAAGTTCAAATAATTTATTGACAAATTAAAATAGTTAATTAGAGGGTAATTAGCAATATTTACAAGTTTTGGCACAGTATTCTTTTCTCTTCTCCGGTGGATAGAATGTGTTGGTGCAGAATCCATTTTTCGCCCATGTTGGACAACTGAAAATTTGGAAATTTGGAAATTTTCAAAAATACAAGTTTTGGCGCCAATTTCTAAAACTCACTTTGGCGACGCATCCTTGCATGGTGGTTTTGGAGTTGTTGGAGTCGGCTTTTTTGTAGTTTTTGTAGTTGGTGGGGGTACTGTAGTCCTTACTGTAGTCTTTAGGAGTACTGTAGTCCTTGGGGGTACTGTGGTCCGTGGAACTATTGTAGTTCCATTACAAACCCCACAACTGAGTGGACATTGTCTGGAAATCGGGACGTTTGGACACAGACAGATACCATACTCACATTGCTAATCCATCACTGCAGGGCTTGGAAAATTGGGGACATTCTATTAAATGGTCCACACAATCAGGGATTACTGTAGTCCTTGCAGGTACTGTAGTTCTCTCAAGAGTTGTTGGAATTACTGTAGTTTTCCCTGGTACTGTAACTGTAGTTCTGTCATCACAATTTCCACACGTTTTCGGACACTGTCTGAAAAGTTAGATGTGCAGGTTTACTGTAATTTTTTTGGCTTACTGTGTGTACTGGGGTACTGTATTGCATTCGAATTCGAATTTCGAACAGTCTGTGTTAAAATCATAGCATTGATTGGGATCCGGTGTACACAATCCACAGGTTAGAGGGCATTTTCTGGAAGTTCTAGAAGTTTTTAAGAATTTTAACTGTCAAATTTGAATTTCCCATCAAAAACTACCCTATTATACATTTTTCTGTGCCTCTATCTCTTAATTTTGGCTTTTTGGGTTACGGTAGCGCCGATTCTGTGTGCAAACACCAACCGAAACACCGAACCATACGACGAAATGCACAAATCGCCTAAAAATCGGCTAGATAGAGGTAAAAATAGGCGGCGAATTTGAATTTCGCAGTAAAAATTGATTAGGATCAGCAGTTTTCCGGGAAATTTGAAATTTTCGAAAAAAAATTTTTTTCAAAATAAAAAAAAAAATTTTAATTTTTTCGCGCCCTAAAATTTCTTACTTTCTAAAATAGTCATCCCTACAGTAGTCTTTGCTATCCGCACATGACATTATCGTATCCACACATAGTTCAGAGTATACGGTAGGCGAGAAAATCGAAAAAATCAAAAAAAATTAGAAAAACCATTTTTTCGAAAAATCTGATTTTCGGTTCGTCTAACCCAGTACTTTGTACTAATTTTTTATCAGGAAAAAAGACCAGAAAATCACGGAAGTGATAAGAAAAAATAGGAAAAATGATGTACACGACGTACGCCCACCAAAAAAAGTTTCGTTGAAATTTTTTTGATTTTCAAGATCAAAAATTGATTTTTTTGGGGTCAAAATTCAAATTTTGAGAGCTGAAAGTGTCAAATTCGTGTTTCTCGTAGTTTTCTACCCCTAGAAACTCTGTAAAACAGAAAAACCGAAAAAAAATATTTTTGGTTTTTTTCTGAATTTTCTGAAAATCATAATTTTCTAGAAAACAAGTTATTCCAGACAATTTTCATGTTAAAATTCAAATTCCCCATCTATTTTTACTCCTAAAACGACTGTTTTTGAGCGAGTTGTGCATTTTGTCGTAAGGTTCGGTGTTTGGGTTTTGTGTTTGCACAGAATCGGCGCTACAGTAACCCAAAATTGAGAGTTAGAAACGCAGAAAAATGCATTATAGGGTAGTTTTTGATGGGAAATTCAAATTTGACAGTTAAAATTCTTTAAAACTTCTAGAAATTCCAGAAAATGCCCTCTAACCTGTGGATTGTGTACACCGGATCCCAATCAATGCTATGATTTTAACACGGATTGCCCGAAATTCGAATTCGAATGCAATACAGTACCCCAGTACACACAGTTTGTGGGAAATTCGAATCTGACAATAAAGTTCCTCGAAAATTTTAAGAAAATTCAAAAATCCGTAACGTTTTTCAAAAATTCCTATTTTCCCGGAAAACCACTGATCCTGGATATATTTAATCGTCAAATTCGAAATTTCCACATATTTTTACCCCTAAAACGACTATTTTCGAGCGATTTGTGCATTTTGTCGTAAAGTTCGGTGTTTTGGTTTGGTGTTTGCACAGAAAAGAAGCTACAGTAACCCAAAAACTCGAAATTGAGAGTTAGAGGCGCAGAAAAATTTGTTCTAGAGTAGTTTTTGATGGGAAATCTGAATTTTCTAGTATTTTTTTGCTTTTGGGAAATCAGAAACTCCGAAAACCCCATATTTTATTTTTTTTTGCTTCCAAATCAAAAAATCACATCATTTTTCGTCCTATCAACATTTTTGATTTTTTTGGCACTTTTTGACTGATATGAAAGACAGATTATGACTTTAAGCCTGTCCAAAGAACATTTCGAAAAATTACAAAAACATAGATTTTCGGAATTTCCGAATTTCTTGGAATTTTTGGAGTTTTAGCAAATTTCGGTTATCAAATTCAAATTTCCCATAAAAAACTACCTTAGAATGCATTTTTCTGAGTTTCTAACTCTCATTTCCGGCTTTTTGGGGTACTGTAGCGCCGATTCTGTGCAAAAACCAAACCGAAACACCGAACCTGGCGACAAAATGCACAAATCGATTATAAATAGTTGTGTTAGGGGTAAAAAAGCGCAGGAAACTCGAATTTTGAAATGGAAATTGTTTAGAATTGATGGTTTCCCGGGAAAATGGGAATATTTCAAATTTCGAGAAAAAAATTGTTTTGAAATTTTAATTTTATTTGAATTTTCTCAAAATTTTCAGCTCAAATTCTCAATTTTCCACAAAATTCATGCTGAAAATCAAATTTCTCATAAACTTCTACCTTAAAACCAATTTTTCTGCGTTTTCGGGTTACTGTAGCGCCGATTCTGTGCAAACACCAACCGAAACACCGAACCTTACGACAATATGCACAAAACGTCTAAAAACCAGCTAGATGGAGGTAAAAATAGGCGGAGAATCCGAATTTTGTGTTTAAAATGTCTAAAAATTTCATTTTCAGTCTGAAAATTGGATTTTAAGTTTTCGAAGCCTTCCAAAATTGTTTAGATGTGAAGGTGGGCACACCTACATCACTTTTTAATTGTCTTATCACTTCTTTCTTTCAATTTTCCCGCCCTTTTACCCACAAAAATTCCCAATTGATAAGCCAATTTATCACTATGAAATACACCCAAAAAAAACCTAAAAATCACATTTTAAAAATGCTGAAATTCCTAATTATTCTCCATTTTTTGATATTTTCAGTAAAATCTGAAACTTGTATAGATTCTATAATCACTTGTCCAGATATGAAGAGCAATTGTGATATTGGAATGATTCAGAGGTAATTTGTAGCGAAAATTATTGATTTTTAAGGATTTTAAGCCAAACAGTGGTCTTAAAATTCCATTTTCTACTGAAACATCACATTTTTGGAGGTTGCCACTACGAAATTCGGATTTCCCACCCATTTTTACCCCGAAATAGTCGGTTTTTAGCGTTTTGTGCATATTGTCGTAAAGTTCGGTGTTTTGGTTTGGTGTTTGCACAGAATCGGCGCTACAGTAACCCGAAAACTAAAAATTGAGAGTTAGAGACGCAGAAAAAAGCATTCTAGAGTGAAATTTTGCGGAAAATTTAAACTTGACAATTACAATTCTTCAAAAAGTCCCGAAAAATCCAAAAATCCAAAATTTTGAGAAAATTGTTTTTTCGAAAATCCCCTAGCCGATTTTTCAAAGTTTTTTGATAATTTTTATTACAAAATTTAAATTTCCCACTCATTTTTACGCCTACCTAGCCGGTTTTCGGGCTTTTTATTCATTTCGTCATGTGGTTCGGTGTTTTGGTTTGGTGTTTGCACAGAATCGGTGCTACCGTAACCCAAAAACTCAAAATTGAGAGTTTCCGACGCAGAAAAAGGCAATCTAGGGTGGAATTTCGTGGGGAATCTGAATTTAACACTTAAAATCTTCAAATTTTCAGCCAATGCCCTCTAACCTGTGAAATCTGCCACCGGACGGACCCCAACCTGTGTATGGATACCAATTTGGAGTGTGACAAATTTCCCAACCAGTGTGACTTTGTGAAATACCAGGGGTACTACAGTAATCCAAAAGAAACCCTGCACGTCTAACTTTTTAGAATCTGCCCGAAAACGTGTGGTACTTGTAAGAAAGCTAGTACAGTATTACCAAGGACTACAGTAATCTCTGATTGTGTGGACCATTTAATAGAATGTCCCCAATTTTCCAAGCCCTGCAGTGATGGATTAGCAATGTGAGTACGGTATCTGTCTGTGTGCCGAGATGTCCCGATTTCCAGACAATGTCCACTCAGTTGTGGGGTTTGTAATGGAACTACAATAGTTCCACGGACTACAGTTCCCCCAAGGACTACTGTACTCCTAAAGACTACAGTAAGGACTACAGTACCCCCACCAACTACAAAAACTACAAAAAAGCCGACCCCAACAACTCCAAAACCACCATGCAAGGATGCGTCGCCAAAGTAAGTTTTTGGAATTTAGCGCCAAAATTTTTTTCCCGCCAAAAATTCAAATTTTGAATTTTCCAGTTGTGTCGGATGGGCAAAAAATGGATTCTGTACCAACACATTCTATCCACCGGAGAAGAGAAAAGAATATTGTGCCAAAACTTGTAAATATTGCTAATTACCCTCTAATTAAATATTTTAATTGGTCAATAAATACTTTGAAAGTGCTCTAATTTGAAAATAAGTTTCAGATTCAAATTTCTCATTAAAAACTAGCATAGGGCGCATTTTTCTGCGCCTCTAACTCTCAATTTTGGGTTTTTGGGTTACTGTAGTCTGTGTATACGCCAATCGAAACACCGAACCTTACGACAAAATGCAGAAAACGCTCAAAAATAAACGTTTAGGGGTAAAAATAGGTGGGGAATTCGAATTTTGCATCAGAAATTGCCCAAAATCAATAAGAAAACCGCATTTTTTGATTTTTGTTCGCAAAAAATGAACTTTTGACATCACATCTTACGACGAAATGCAGAAAACGGTAAATTCGTTGCGGAAAATCAAGTTCCGGATTAAGAATTGCAGCAAAATTTGAATTTATTACTAAGAATTACCTCTAAACGCGTATTATAGGTAAAATACCCTAAATTTCTAGAAAATCGCAATTTTTGATACTTTGTTTCTCATTTTTATAGCTTTTGGTTATGAAATTCGAATTCCCCGTCAAAATCTACATTGAAACCCGTTTTCCTGCGTCTCTAGCTCTCATTTCCGGCTTTTTGGGGTACTGTAGCGCCGATTCTGTGCAAACACTAAACCGAAACACCGAACCTTACGACAAAATGCACAAATCGCCTAAAAACCAGCTAGACAGGTGTAAAAATACGCGGGAATTCCAAATTTCGCAGTCAAGACTTCCGGAAATTTGATTTTCCGGGAGAAAATGTCATTTTAAGACAGTTTACCTGTCGAAATGGAGTTGCACTAACCAAAATGATATCATTTTTATTCTCACATCATTTTTAGGTGTATTTGTTAACTTTTTCTTATCATTTAAGCTCTCTGAAAATGATAAGGCATCATTTATCAAATCAAAAAACATTTAACCTCAAAAATTGAAAAAAATTGTCTGAAAATGCTGAAATTCCTGATTCTTACTGTATTTTTCGTTGATTATTTTAACGCTGAGCAATGTATGGATGAATTATTTACTTGTACGGATATGGTGGATTTGTGTAGTGAGCCGAATATTAAAAAGTGAGAATTTTGAAAAAAATTTCAAAAAATTTTTTTTTCGATTTTTTGAATTTTTCTAGAAAACTATTGATTCTAGAGAGTTTTAAATGTGAAATTCGAATTTCTCACTAATTATTACCTCTAAGACCACTATTTTCGGGCGATTTGTGCATTTTGTCGTAAGGTTCGGTGTTTCGGTTCGGTGTTTGCACAGAATCGGCGCTACAGTAACCCAAAAACCTAAAATGACAAGTGAGAGACGCAGAAAAATGCTTTCCAAGGTAGTTTTTGATGGGAAATTTGGATTTGATAATATAAAACAAGAAAAACTTGAAATATGTAACAAAACCTAAGATTTTCGGAAAATTGTAGTTGTTTTTGGGTGGACCCATTGAGTTTAAGTCATTTTTAATGCAAAATTCGAATTTCCCGCCCATTTTTACCCCTACCTAGCGGGTTTTTAAGCGTTTTGTGCATTTTGTCGTAAGGTTCGGTGCTTCGGTTCGGTGTTTGCACAGAATCGGCGCTACAGTAACCCAAAAGCTTAAAATTGAGCGTTAGAGACGCAGAAAAATGCATCTAAGGGTAGTTTTTGATGGGGAATTCGAATTTAATAACAAAAACCCTTTGAAACTTCTAGAAAGTTCTGAAAGTCCAGAAAGTTTCAGTGAATGCCCTCTAACCTGCGGATTGTGTATCCTGGACCCCAATATCTGTGCTGACCGTAATCCGGATTGTCCAACGTTCAGTTTTATGTGTTATAAATATGAAAAGTGAGTAGAACTACAGTAATCCAACAATACCTGCACATCTACACATTATCAGACAGTGTCCGAAGACTTGTGGGGTTTGTAAGGGAAACACTACAGTAACCCCTACAGTACCCCCAAAAACTACAATAATATCGACTATAAGGACTACCGTACCCATTCGGACTACAGTACTCCCAGTTACCGTACCCCAAAAGACTACAGTAGTCCCAACTACACCAGCAAGGACCACAATACCCCCACAAACTACCAAAACTACAGTACCCCCAAGGACTACTGTACTCCTAAAGACTACAGTAAGGACTACAGTACCCCCTGCAACTACAAAGACTACAAAAAAGCCGACTCCAACAACTCCAAAACCACCATGCAAGGATGCGTCGCCAAAGTAAGTTTTTTTGAATTTGGCGCCAAAATTTTTTTCCCGCCAAAATTCAAAATTCAAATTTTTCAGTTGTCCAACATGGGCGAAAAATGGATTCTGCACCAACACATTCTATCCACCGGAGACGAGAAAGGAATACTGTGCGAAGACGTGTAAATATTGCTAATTACCCTCTAATTAACTATTTTAATTGGTCAATAAAATATTTGAACTTGCTCGGAAGTGAGAAATATGGTCAGATTTGGACTTCCCATAAAAAACTACCCTAAAACCCACTTTTCTGCGTCTTTACCTCTCAATTTCTGGTTTTCGGGTTACTGTAGCGCCGATTCTGTGCAAACACTAAGCGAAACACCGAACCTTACGACAAAATGCACAAAACGCCCAAAAATAGACGTTCCAGGGGTAAAAATAGGCGGGGAATCCGAAATTCGTAATGAAAACTGTCTACAATTGATGGTTTTTCTGATAATCGTGATTTCATTGAAAATATATTTTTAAAATTACATGACAAAAATCACAAAGCAACGAAATTTTCGAATTTTTATCATCCATAATTAAAAAAGTTTTTTTTGAGCTTCGTCAAAGTGTTTTGACTTGTTTTGTGGATTTCCATTCCCATCAGTAGATATGGTACCTCTCATCGCATTGGCCTGGAAATATTCGAATTTATTTTTTTTCATGTTTTATATTGTTGTGTAGATAATTCCAATTCCTATATTTTGCTTTTTAGATTTTCTGAAAATATTGATTTTGAAGAAAGTTATGAGCATTTTTCTGGAACACACCGGATTCCCAACAATAGCGAAGACCTAACCGGCTGTTTTTCGGCTTCTAGTTCAAAACCAAAGTGTTCAATATAGACAAATTATATATCACTTTGTGGCAAATTTCAAACCCTACATTTTTTTCCAATATAGATGATTTTTAAATATTGATTTTTCAAAAAGTTATGCGCTTTTTTCTAAACCATACCCCAAAATTACAGGAAGTGGGCTTTTTTTCTGGCTATTTTGACTGTATTTTAGATAAAATCAATAAAATAGCTTACCTTAGAAATTTCAGAAAAATCAAATAGAATCACTATAGGATTCGATGGATTCCAGAATAATTTCTAATAGTGAATATTCGGAAAAAATCAATAAATTAAGAAAAAATATAAAGAGACAACGAAAATTCAGATGGTTGTCGTGATGGGGACCGGGAATATGGATAAGAATGAATAGAAAAAAAACGGAAAATTGAGAGAGAAACGGAGATTTAGAGAGCATGGGAGAAATAGTGTGGACAGAGGAGGAGGGTACTGTGGGAAAGTGAGAGAGAGACAGAAATATGAGGTCTATTTTCGCTTTTCAAGCTCCGCCTCCAAATATTGGCCAGATTTCAGCCATTTAGGCTCATTTTGGTGGACTTTCAGTGCTAAAATTGAACTTCTCGCGATATTTTACTTCTAAAACGCCTAAAAAAGCGATTTGTGCATTTTGTCGTAAGGTTCGGTGTTTCGGTTTGTTGTTTGCACAGAATCCAAGCTACAGTAACCCAGAAGCGCAGGAAAGTCGGTTTTAAAGTAGTTTTCGATGGGGAATTTGATTTTAAGCATGAATTTGGCGAAAAATCAATAGAAATTCCGAAAAATCTGAAATTTTAAGAAAAATAATCAAATTTCCAAAAAACCTTTTTTTTAATGTTCATTTTCCGAATTTCAAAACATTTCTAGACACTTTTTGATACGAAATTCGAATTTTCCGCAAATTTTCACACCTGAAACCAGTGTTTTCAGCGATTTGTGCATTTTGTCGTAAGGTTCTGTGTTTGCACAGAATTCAAGCTACAGTAACCCAGAAGCGCAGGAAAGTCGGTTTTAGGGTAGAAAATTGTAGAAAATCGATTTCAAACATAAATTTGGCAGAAAATCCCTGAAAATTTTGAAAATTTTTAATTTTAGAAAAAAATCAAAATTTTCAAAAAAAATTTTTTTTCAGATTTTTCATTTTTCCGAATTTCAAAACTTTTCTAGACATTCATTGATACAAAATTCGAATTTCCCGCAGTTTTTTACCCCCAAAACACCTATTTTTGAGCGATTCTTGCATTTTGTCGTCAAGTGTGGTGTTTGCACAGAATCGGCGCTACAGTAACCCAAAAACGCGGGAAAATTTTTTTCGATTTTAGGGTAGAAAAACATGGGAAATTCGATTCTTAGAATGAAATTGGCTGAAAAAGTTTTTTTTTAAATTCCTCCAATTTTCAGCCAATTTCACTATCAAAATCGAATTCCCCGCAAAATGTCACCCTTGAACTCACTTTTCTGCGTCTCTAACACTCAATTTCGGGTTTTTGAGTTACTGTAGCGCGGATTCTGTGCAAACACAAAACCTAACACCGAACCTTACGACAAAATGCACAAATCGCCCGAAAATAGTGGTCTTAGAGGTAATAATAGCTGGAGAATCCGAATTTTGTAATAAAAACGTTTGAAAACTGATGTTTCTTTGAAAAAATCAAGATTTTTCGAAAATTATTTTTAAAAAACTGGAATTCTTCATTTTTAAAACGATTTTCATTGAAAATACCATCAAATTCGAATTCCCCATCAAAAACACTTCCCAAACCCTTTTTTCTGCGTCTCTCACCCCGATTCTGTGCAAACACCAAACCTAAACACCGAACCTTACGACAAAATGCACAAATCGCTCAAAAATAGTGGTTTTAGGGGTAAAAATAGATGGAAAATTCGAATTTTGTGTTGAAGATTGTGTAGAATCGATGGTTTTTCAAAAAAAAGGGAATTTTTGCTTATTTTTGAGCTCAAAAAGTGAAAAAAAATTTTCCGGAACTTTTCTTGTTTTTTATCAATTTTGAGCGTCAAATTCGAATTCTCCATCAAAAACTACCATAAAACCCACTGTTCTGCGTCTCTAACTGTCATTTTTGGGTTACTGTAGCGCCGATTTTGGGAAAACACCGTATTTGACGACAAAATGCACAAATCGCTCAGAAAACCTTTCTTTAAGGGTAAAAAAACGCGGGGAATTCGAATTTCTTGCTGAAAATTAACAAAAATCGTTTATTTATGCTGAAAATTTCAAAAAGTATCAAAATTAACAAAAAAATCAATAATTTATTCAAAATCGGGACACATGATTACAGTACTAGAGAATGCCGAGTTATGGGGTTTATAAATTTCCGGAAACGGCGTGATTTTCGATTTCTCCCAAAATTGATCGATTTTCGGGTGATTTTTTCGAAAAATCGATAATTGCCAATCGATACCGCCGTAATTGTTTCCGATCACTACGCAATTTTGATTTTCAGCAATTTTCAGCCAATTATGCTCCAAAAAATCGCTAAAAATCTCGTGTTCTCCATGGATTAGCACAAAAATCGATAATTGATCGGCGCCGTCGCCAATATCGATTTTCGTATCGATTTTTTGGCGATTTTCCACATTTTTCAGCTCCAAATATCGATTTTCCGGCTCCGAAATGCATGGGTCTTGAAAAACCACCGAATCTACGTGGAAAATTCGAGAAATTTCGAGAAAAAGTGCGAATTGATGGGCGCCCGGTTGATCCGACCAATCGAAGTGCCCATTTCCGATCAAGACGATTTTATCGATTTTTTGGACTCGAACGTTTGAATTTCCCGCCTTTTTCTCCTCTAGAATCCGCTCGATTTGTCTCTGAAGCCACGTGGCAAGACCCGATTTTTGAATTGCCGCCGTCGCGGCCGTTATCGATTTTTCGACGTCGGCGAGGGAGCCATCCACACGGATGTGTGTGCTGTTGGCGGATTTTTTCTGGAAAAATTGAATTTTTTGAAAATTTTCAAAAAACTTTTTTTTTTGAAAAATAAATTTTCCAGATTTTTCATGTCAAATATTGATTTTTGCAGAAATTCATTGTCAAATTCGAATTCCCCATCAAAAACTACCCTACCACCCTTTTTTCTGCGTCTCTAACACTCAATTTCGGGTATTTGGGTTACTGTAGCGCCGATTCTGTGCAAACACCAGATTTGACGAAAAAATGCACCAAATGCTAAAAAGTTGATATTTTAGTTGTTCTAGGGGTAAAACTGGGTGGGAAACGCAAATTTTGTGATGAAAATTGTCTAGGATTGATGGTTTTTTGGAAAAATCGATTTTCTGTTTTTGAAACTTCGAATTTTCGGGACTTTTGGAAGTTTAAGGACATTTTTCACAACAAAATTCGAGTCTCTCGCGTTTTTCTACCCCGGAACTGACTTTTTGAACTAAAAACGTGTTTTTGTGCATTTTGTCGTCAAATTTGGTGTTTGCACAAAATCGGCGCCACAGTAACCAAAAAAGAGAGTTAGAGACGCAAAAAAGTGGGTTTCAGGCTGGTTTTTGATGGAAAAATAGATTTTTAAGAATAAAACTTGGCAAAAACAGAAATTTGAACTGAAATTTTGAAAAAAACAACTTTTTGAGTTATTTTTTTTTTAATTTTCAGATAAAACACTCATTTTCCGCCAAAATTCATTGCCAAAAACGAAATTCCTATGAAAATCTACCCTAAAACCTATTTTTCCCGCGCTTCGGGTTACTGTAGCGCCGATTCTGTGCAAACACCGAACCTTACGACAAAATGCACAAATCGCTGAAAAAAGTCGTGCGAGGGGTAAAAAATAGCGGGAAATTTCAATTTTCGTCTTTAAAATCTGCAAAAATCGGTCTGAAATAGCTAAAAATTTGAAAAAAAGTTTTCAAAAGAAAATCGAAAAAAAAATTTTTTTTTCAATTCTCAATTTTTTCTAAATTTCTAAAAAATCCCGAAAAATCTCACAAATGCCCGATTTGCCGGTTTTCCGGCCTTCTTCCCTGTCACCAATGTGAATCCATCGTCTTCCATATTGCTGAAAATCTGAAAAGTCAATAAAAAATCCTCTTGTCCTCGAGGAGTACACGGGATTGGGTGTTCTAGGCCATGAGCTAAAATATCGACCTTTAGCGTTTTTTCGCTTTATTTTCAGCGTTTTAGGTCAACTTTTCTCGTATTTTCGATGAGAAATCAATCAAATCTATTTACTTGTGCTATTTAAACCTAGAAAAACCAGAAAAACCTGCAATTTGAGGGGGGAAAAAGGGTATACTCGGGGAAAAATCAATTTTAATGAAAAAAACCAATGAAAAACCTGAAAAAGCAATGTTCAGGGTGAAAAAATCGATTTAAAAGGGAATTTTAACATTAAAAAGACCCAAAAACAGGGGAAAAGGTAAAAAGGGGAATTTTTCGAAAAAAAAAAATTTTTTCCAGAAAATCAATAATTTATCGATTATCAATCAGCACATGGGTGGTTTTGGGTCGCCGCTTGTTCTCCACATACAGGAATCGCCACTCCCAATCACCATCCCGTTGCTCCATTTCCGCCTGAGCAATGCCTTCATCCCGGTCTCCTTTCACATGGAAAAGCACTCGAATTCTTTGCATTCCATCTTTTTCGTACTTGTGATGTGCCACGTGGCGACGACGTCCCCGGGACGTCTCCTCGCCGAATCCTGCGATAGAGGCACCGAAAATGTCCTGACAACGACCGTCCTCGCGGACCAGCGCGAGAGCTCTGGAATAAATGTGTTTTAAGGGGTTTCGGAGGCTGAAAATCGCTTTAAAAGGGCTTAAATTCACTTAGAACAGCTAAAAATACTTGAAAATGAACTTTTGAAAATTTTCAAAAAAAATTTTTTTGTCAAAGTTGTTTAATTTTTCAAAAAATTTCTGATCAAAATTCGAATTTTTTGAAATTTCCAGATATTTTCAGCCAATTTCATGCTAAGAATCGAATTTCCCATGTTTTTCTACCCTAAAATCGGTTTTCCCGCGTTTCTGGGTTACTGTAGCGCCGATTCTGTGCAAACACCACACTTGACGACAAAATGCAAGAATCGCTCAAAAAAAGGAGTTTTGGGTAGGCACCGCAATGAAAGGGGGCGGGGCGACCAAATTTTTCTCCCCTTTTCAGAAATCCATCTTTGAAGGCTTGTACCGGGCGTTAGAAACCCATTATTTTTTTGGTGAGAACTTGTCCCTATGTAATCGACTACGCTGAATCCAATGAAATTATCAGTTCTTCGATAACTTTATTATTTTGATTCGAAAACTTCGAAAAATAGAAGTGGGACTGACAAAGTGGACTAAAAGTGTTGGATGGAAGTTCGCGCCATTAGATTTTTTAATGGATTCTGATAGTTTTTGAACTGGGGGATTGGATTTTGAAATAAAATCAAAATTCTAACGACGCCCTTGTTTCACAATTTTCAGCCAAAGTTCCAGCTAAAATAAATAAAAAATTTCAGCGATGACCCCAATTTTTTTTTGCATATTATGGTAAAACTAAGTCTTGTGTATACTTCTGCCAATTTTCAGAAAGATTGAATACCTCTAAGTAGTTTTGATACTCATCCGAAAATTCCAAACTTTCAAAATTTTCAGTTTTTGGAAGTTTTGAAGGTGACACAGGTGAGCGCCACCGATTTTCTTTTCACCATAAGATTCTACGCAAAATTTGCCACTAAGAGCAATTATAATTAAAAAATTCTATCGACGCCCTTAATGTGTTATACGTCTGTTTCCTTATCTATCATGGAACAACTTGTAAAAAATAGGAAAGAGGCAACACCGGAAGGAGACGGCAGGCAATGAAAAGTCGTCCTTTCCTCACTCTCATCTATTGCTTCCAAGAGAAGTGCAGCGGTGGCAGACTGGTTAGTGGGCGCGCGCACCGATCTGAAGACCGAAGTTCGCATCTCCCATGGGGTTTTTTTGTTTTTTTTTTCCTTTTTTCAATGGGCCACGGTGTTTGCACAAAACATCAATAAATTATAGTAAAATTTTGAAGTCTGAATGTTATAAACTTATTCTTTTCGTTTTTTTACCCTAAAAACTGCTTTTCCGACAAACCAAGATGCGATTTTGATGAAAAAACAGCGCTCGGAATAGCGCCACAATGAAACCGCGCCGCAGCTAAGCCCCGCCCACTTTTCTGCGCACCGCAAAAAAATGAGGAGAAATTCAGTACATTGAGGTCTGGTATAAAAGGGGCTGTAACTCGGGATTGAATGAAGATTTTTCCCTGAAATTTTGGGAATGGACTTCTATAAAGTAGGAGAATACAATCCAACAATAAAAACTGGGAAAAGTCTATTTTGAAAATTTTGTTGTGGTGCCTAGTTTTGGGGGTAAAAAACTGCGGGAAATTCGAATTTCGTATCAATGAATGTCTAGAAAAGTTTTGAAATTCGGAAAAGTGAAATATCTGAAACAAATTTTTTTTTTGAAAATTTTGATTTTTTCTCTAAAATTGAAAATTTTCAAAATTTTCAGGGATTTTCTGCCAAATTTATGCTGGAAATCAACTTTCCTACAATTTTCTGCCCTAAAACCGACTTTCCTGCGCTTCTGGGTTACTGTAGCTTGAATTCTGTGCAAACACCGAACCTTACGACAAAATGCACAAATCGCTTTTTTAGGCGTTTTAGAAGTAAAATATCGCGAGAAGTTCAATTTTAGCACTGAAAGTCCACCAAAATGAGCCTAAATGGCTGAAATCTGGCCAAAATTTGGAGGCGGAGCTTGAAAAGCGAAAATAGGCTGTCTGACCCTCCTAGACCAACTCCAGGCTGAAAATCGCGATTTTAGAATGATTTTTGAGCTTAAAATGACCAAAAATACTGCAAAAACTCACTTATTGAAGATAGTTTGTGGGGAATCTTGGGCGAAGAACTCTCCGGCAAGCACATAGATAAAAGCGCCAATCAGACCGACGCCAGCGACCACAGCAGTGTACATAAACGTGTTTGACGCCTTTTCAGCCACTTTTCCGGTGAAAGTAGTCGGTTTTTGCTTCTCATGGACCAAAACCTCCTCCAAAATCGACCGCTGTAGGGCATTCTCCTGTTTCTTGGGGGTTGGTGGCGATTTTTGAAGTTCCAGGGCGCAAATCGTCTTGGAGAATGCCCGAAATTGGTTTGGAGTGAGAAAAACGCTGGAAAACCCATTTTTCTAAACCAAAAACCAACAAAAACGGATGAAAATGACCCACAAACCTTTTCAGCACATTTTTCCTCGAATTTTGCACTAAAACTCTGCTTAGCATGGTGTTTAGTGATGTCATTACCTAAAAATTCAATAATTTAAGTTGAAAATTAAGGAAAACGCTGAAATTTGAGAAAAAACCAGAAAAAATGAAGGAAGATAGGTGAAAAATAAAATAAAAAAGTGGAAACAATGCAAGTGCGCTCTGGCGCACTCCTCGTGTACTTCTCTCGGACAAGAGAAAATATTCTATTTTTTCGGATTTTTCCGATTTTCTAGGTTATTTTCAGCCGATTTTTCTCGTTTTTTCCAGTTTTTTGCTCAAAAATCGAATTTTAAGTGATATGTTAACCCAAAAACTGCTCCTAAACTTCCGCTCCCTGGCTCTCCGCCCTCTGGCATACAGCACAACTTCGGACCCGAAAAATGAGGTTTTCCTGGAGAGATTAACGGGGAAAGATGAGGGTAAGGGGTAGAAAAACGCGGGAAATTCGAATTTAGAGGTTTCCAGGCATCACAATCGTCAATATGAACCGTCCGGAGAAGAAAAACTCGTTGGGAAAGGTTTTCATGGCTCAGGTAACCAAATTTTTTGGGATTTTTTGGTTTTTGGGCTAAAAAAAAAGCGATTTTTCAGTTCCGCGAAGTGCTGGAGGAGATCAAATACGATCCAAAGACGCGGGTGGTGATTTTGAACTCGAAGTGCGAGAATGTGTTCTGCAGTGGAGCGGATTTGAAAGAGCGCAAGACGATGAGCCAGCAGGAGGCCACCAAATTTGTTAACGGGTTGAGAGACTCGTTTACCGATGTAATTTGACCTTAAAAATCGAAAAAATTGCAAAAATAAATCACATTTTTTGAGCCAAAAACCTTGAAAATTGAGCTATTTTGACCTCTTTCCCTCCAAATTTGGTCAATTTTGGCCATTTTTGACCCAAGATAGGTCATTTTCAGCCATTTTAACCCGATTTTCAGCCTAAAAACGCTCATTTCCAGGTGGAACGTCTTCCACAACCCGTCATCGCCGCTATTGATGGATTTGCACTTGGAGGAGGGCTGGAGTTGGCACTCGCGTGCGATATTCGTGTGGCTTGTGAGTTTTGAGGACGAAAATGTGATTTTTGGTGATTTTGAGGATCAAAATGACCCCAGAAATGCTCAAAAATCGAGTTCCCCAGCAAAAAATGATCCAAAAATCAGGTTTTTGGCACAATTGGAGCTTAAAAATTGTCAAAAAATGCCCAAAATTTGGCTGAAATTGACTAAAATTGGCTTAAAATTGTCTAAAAACGGCGATTTTTGGCTTTAAAATGACCCGAAAATGCTCAAAAATTGGAATTTTTTCGATAAAAAATGCCTTAAAATCAGCTAAAAATCGCTAAAAATTACCAAAAATTGCCGATTTTTGACATTTTTCTGTCTAAAAATCGACATTTTCAGCCTATTTTTGGGCTTAAAATCGTCCAAAATTGACGATTTTTGTCATTTTTGGCTCAGAATTCCTTATTTTTAGCTTTTTCAGCCAGTTTTAAAGCTTAAAATTGACGATTTTTAGCTCAAAAATCTGAATTTTCAACATTTTTAGCCGATTTTTGAGCTTGAAATCGTCCAAAATTGACGATTTTCGATATTTTTTGGTCTAAAAATTCCTATTTTTTTTGCATTTTTAGACCATTTTCAGTCATTTTTAGCCTAAAATTTGTCAATTTCAATGATTTCTAGACGTTTTTGATTCAAAATCCCTCAATTTTCATGATTTTCAGCCCATTTTTAGCTCAAAATTGCTCAATTTAAACAATTTTCAGCCCATTTTTGAGCTTAAAATGATCTGAAATCGACAATTTCTGGCATTTTTTGGTCTAAAAATTCCAAATTTCCAGCATTTTCAGCCGATTTTTATGCTTAAAATAAGCCAAAATTGATGATTTTTGGCATTTTTTGGCTCAGAATTCCTTATTTTTAGCATTTTCAGCCCATTTTAGAGCTTAAAATTGACGATTTTTAGCTTAAAAATCTGAATTTTCAGCATTTTTAGCCTATTTTTGAGCTTGAAATCGTTTAAAATTGCCGATTTCTGACATTTTTAGCCTAGTTTCAAGCTTAAAATGATCCGAAATTGATGATTTTTGGCATTTCTTGGTCTAAAAATCGACTTTTCCAGCATTTTCAGCCGATTTTTGAGCTCAAAATGGTCCAAAACCCCAAATTTCTCCCAATTTTCAGCTCAAAAATCCAAAATGGGCCTCGTCGAAACGAAATGGGCACTGATCCCAGGCGCCGGTGGTTCCCAGCGTCTGTATCGAATTGTGGGCGTGGCCAAAGCCAAGGAATTGATCTACACGGCGGCGGTTTTCGATGGATCCGAAGCAGAGAAGCTGGGCGTCGTCAATCACTGTGTCGCATCGAATCCAATCGATAAATCAATCGATATCGCCAGAAAGGTATCATTTTTGGCAAATTTTGATTAACTTTCAACCTTGAGCCAGTTTATCTCGGTTACTGTAAGAGATATCAGGAAGTTGTCAACTGATAAAATAGTACTGATAAGATGATAAGCATTTTATCAGTTTATCACTTTCTGATATCGCTTACAGTAACCGAGATAAGGGGGCTCAAAGTTATAGATAAGTTGGTTGCGTAAGAGCGTCCTGCTCCTTTAACCTTGAGCCAGTTTATCTCGGTCACTGTAAGCGATATCAGGAAGTTGTCAACTGATAAAATGTTTATCATAATATGAGAAGTTCTTTATCAGTTGACCACTTTTTCATATCTTCTACAGTAACCGAGATATGGGGGTTCAAAGTTAGAAGGGGGTTTAGTCTGATCTACAGTATCCGGCTCTTAACTTGTAGGCAATTTATCTCGGTTACTGTAAGAGATATCAAAAGGTGGTCAACTGATAAAATGCTTATCACCTTATCAGTAATGTTTTATCAGTTTATCACTTTCTGATATCTTCTACAGTAACCGAGATATTCTAGCTCAACGTTTCAGATCCTTCCCCGAGGACCGATTGCTGTGAAATTGGCGAAGTTGGCGATCAATTTGGGATCACAGACTGATATCACAAGTGCGCTGAGTGTGGAGCAACAGTGCTATGCACAAATCATCCCGACGAAGGATCGACAGGAGGGAATGAAGGCGTTCGCCGAGAAGCGGGAGCCCGTTTATAAGGGGGAATAGAGATTTCGGGAGGTTTAGAGGGGGAAAACTGAGGGAAAATGAGCTGAAAATGGCTGAAAATGGGCTTAAATTAGGCTTAAAATGAGCCAGAATAGTCCGAAATTGGCTCAAAAAGGCTGTAAATTGGCCGAATTTGGCTTAAAATGAGCTAAATTCGCATGAATTTGGCATAAAATAGGCTTTAAAAGGCTCTAAATAGGCCAGATTTGGATTTAAATAACCCGGAAAAGATTAAAAATGACTTAAAATTGCCCGAATTTTGGCTTAAAATAAGCTTAAAATAGGCTGAAAATCCATTTTTGGCGATTTTTAGCAATTTTGGTATCATTTTAAAGCTTACAATAGTTCAAGAATAGCTTAAAATGAGCTTAAAATGGACCTAAGCAAGCTTAAAATGATCCAAAACAGTCCGAATTCGGCTTAAAATAGGCTAAAATAGGCTTAAAATAGTTCAAAATGGCTGAAAATGACCGTTTTTAAGCTCTAAAGCCTCATTTTTCTGTAATTGCTCATTCTTAAAATCTACCGTAGCTCTGAAAATGTCTCTGAATGACCCGAAAATGGCTGAAAATGACTAGATTTCAGCGATTTTTAGCTATTTTTGGGTCATTTTTAGCCATTTTTGGGTCATTTTCAGCTATTTTTGGGTCATTTTTAGCCATTTTTGAGTCATTTTCAGCTATTTTTCAGCGATTTTCAGCCATTTTTCACCTAATTTCACTGATTTTCAATTTTGCTCATTTTTCTCCTTAAAAATCCCCGTTTTTTTTCAGCATTTTTTGTCCCATTTCTCATATAGATGTCGACTATTTTAGAGCTTTTTTCACCCTTTTTTCATATCAAATAAATGAATTTTTATGGCGTTTTTACCCCCATTTTTAACCATTTTTTTTATTTATCGGTCATTTTTAGCCGATTTTTTCATATTTTTTTGATGGTTTTCATGATTTTAAGCTATTTTTTCACATTTTAGGTCCTTTTTTGTAGTTTTAAGGTCTTTTTTGACCCTTTTTCTTGATTTTAACCCAACTTTTTTTTCAGAAAAAATGCTATTTTCCATGTTTTAGGTCATTTATTGCTGATTTTTATCGATTTTAACCAATTTTCAGCTCAAAAAGATGCTAATTTCCACTCTCTCCCGTCGCTTCGCCTCGTCAGCTACAGTAACCCCGACAGCTCAAAAATGGGACATTTTCGCGTCCGTAATCCTATCGCGACCGCCAATAATCGCGCCAAAAATGTCGGAAATCGAGGAGCGGTTCCAGAAATTACAGAAGCAAGAGGAGGAGGAGAAGAGTCTGCTCTGTAACTATGAGCTCAAGACGAAACAGGACTTGAAGTAGGTTTTTGGGCTGAAAATGGCTGAAAATGACCCAAAAATAGCTGAAAATGACCCAAAAATAGCTGAAAATGACCGAAAAATGGCTAAAAATGACTTAAAAATAGCTGAAAATTGTGCCAAAACGAGCCAAAATGGCGATTTTTTACTGAATTTCCATAATTTTAAGCCTATTCGAAGTCAATTTTTCGAGTTATCAACTGGAATTTCAGCGTTTTCCGGTCTTTTTTGGCCTGTTTTGAGCTATTTTTGGCGATTTTTGACCATTTTTTGCCAAATTTAGGCTCTTTTGTTTGCCTTTTTTGAGTCATTTTGAGCAATTTCGGCCAATTTTGAACGATTTTCAGACGATTTTTAGCTATTTTTGGGCTATTTTCAGCCAATTCACAGCCATTCAACGCTTTCTTTTAACCATTTAGCTGTGATTTAGGGTTTGAAAATATGCTGAAAATCAAAAAAAAATTCAAAATAATAGGCTAAAAATGACTAATTGACCGATTTTTAGTCATTTTTGATCATTTATAGCCTATTTTCAGCCAAATTTCTGATATTTTAAGCCATTTCTAGCCAATTTTCAGTCATTTTCGGCTAGTTTTAGTCATTTTCGGACCATTTTAAGCTTATTTTTAGCTATTTTCAGCCAAATTTCTGATATTTTGAACCAATTTTCAGCCATTTTTAGCCAAATTTCAGCTGTTTTGATTTATTTTAGAGCTATTTTAAGCCATTTTTGGACCATTTTCAGCCAAATTTCTGATATTTTAAACCAATTTTCAGCCATTTTTAGCCAAATTTCAGCTGTTTTGATTTATTTTAGAGCTATTTTAAGCCATTTTTTGACCATTTTCAGGCAAATTTCCCGCTTATTTTCAGAATGGTCGCCCGTCGTGAACAACTGCTGCGCGAGGGAAAAGAGCTCTCCGAACTGGACGAGGAGATCGGCGTGACGAATGCTCAAAAAGAGGACGATTGGTCGAAAGCGGCGGCGGATTTGGACCAGAAATTCAAATTTGGCGCCAATGTTTTGGCTGAAAATGCGGCTGAAAATCTGAAAAGTGTCGATAGAGCGTTGGAGAGGAAGCTGGTGTTGATTGTGAAGCAGAAAATGGGAGGCGGAGCCGAGTACAGTAGCCCGTGGATCTTGCCGCAGATGAAGCATCGGGAGGGCGAGACGTTGAGACAGGTTTGTGGCTGAAAATTGACTGAAACTGAGTGGTTTTGAGCTAGAAATAACTGAAAATAGCCGAAAAATGCTCTAAAAATCGTGCGAATAGGCTGAAAATAAGCTGAAAACACCTAAAAATGATGAAAATTGAAGAATTTTAAGCTAAAAATGCTCTAAAAATCATTAAAAGTCATGAATTTTCAGCTGAAAATGACTGAAAATGAGCTAGAAATTGGTTAAAGACGAGCCAAAAAAACCATAAAAATGAGCCAAAAACGTCGAAAAATCATGTACATTGATGGATTTTAAGCCAAAAATGACTGAAAATAGCTGGAAATCGGCTGAAAATGAGCCAAAAAACCCTGAAAACGCTCAAAAAAACAGGAAAATTGTGGAATTTTAAGCAGAAAGTCACTAAAAATTTCTGAAAAATGCTCTGAAAACCATGAAAATAGACTGAAAATCATGAAAATGAGCTAAAAATGCGCTAAAAATCACTAAAATTGAGGGATTTCGAGCTAGAAATCACTGAAACTGAAAAATAGCTGAAAAATCAGCTTAAAGTTATGAAAATAGGCTAAAAATGACTGAAAATGCTCTTAAAATCATGAAAATTGACGAATTTTGAGCCAAAAACCCCTAAAATAATATGAAAATGAGTTGAAAAAACCCTAAAAATGAGCAGAAAATGCTCTAAAAATCGCGAAAATTGAGCAATTTTAAGCTAAAAATGACTGAAAATGGCTGAAAATGGCTGAAAATCAAAGATTTAATGATGGAAATCTTCCAAAAATTCGCTGAAAATCAAATTTTCGGTAATTTCAGACCCGATTACCAGCTGTTTCAGAGCTATTATCAGCCATTTTCAGCAATTTTAACGAATTTTGGGTCATTTTAAGCCATTTTTGAGCGTTTCCTATCAATTTTCAGCCAAAACTATCCAAATTTTCAGACAGCCGAACGATGCATTGGCGAGCTGTCGGGCAGCGCGGACTTGAGTGTGGATATCAGTGGAAATGCACCATTCGGAGTGTTTACGCATAGGTAAGTGTCTTAAAATATGCTGAAAATCAATGGAAATTGGCTGAAAATGTTGCCGATTTTTGGCTGAAAATGCATTATTTTTAGCCAGATTTGAGCGATTTTGGGCGATTTTAGATCATTTTTGAGCTGCTCAGCAGCGATTTAAGTGCTGAAAATATGCTGAAAATCCAAAAATTGGTCCAAAAATGGCTGATTTCGACCGATTTTCAGTCGTTTTAAGCCATTTTAAACAATTTTTAAGCGCTATTCAGAGTCATTTAGCTGTGATTTAAGGGCTGAAAATTTTGAAAAATGCTGAAAATTTGAAAAATTGGCGATTCTCACTGATTTTATGCCATTTTTGACAGATTTTAGGCCTATTTTAGAGCTATTTCAAGCCACTCAGCTGTGAATTGGGGTCTGAAAAAAATTGGCTGAAAATTTTTAAAATGTGTTAAAAATCGAGAAATTTGCCCTGAAATGTCGATTTTCAACCATTTTGGAGCATTTATGACGGATTTTTAGCGAATTTAGAGCCATTTTAAGTGATTTTAGACCAATTTTGGACCATTTTAAGCCAATTTTCAGTCAATTTGGACCATTTTAAGCCAATTTTCAGCCAATTTGGAACATTTTAAGCCAATTTTCAGCCAATTCTTCGATATTTCCAGATATCCCAAGCCGATTGCCCAGAAAACGGGCGCTTCTGGAGCCAAGATCTTCTTCTACACGGCGAATCTAGCCCCATCGACGACGACGACGTCATCATCATCAGAATCGTTTTCGGTGAATCCAGAAGACGTTAGCGACTTTCAATGGGTGACACGAGAGGAGTTCTGGAGTACTGTACCTGGCACCGACTATAAGAAGGCGGCGAGATTTGGGTTTTTGGAGTAGCTGAAAATCGATTTTTGTGGCTGAAAATGGCTGAAAATCGAGGTTTCCATGTTGAAAATCGTCATTTTTTGGCTGAAAATGGTTAGAAAATCGATATTTTCGAGCTAGAAAGGCTAGAAAATTGGGATTTTTGGCTGAAAATGTATGAAAAATCGATTTTTCAGCGATTTCCAGACTCAAAAATTATGATTTTCGGCCTATTTTCAGTCATTGTTCTCTCTAGATTTTAGATTTCTTATTGTTTCCTCTTTTTTTGCTGTTATTCTTCTATATTTTTCGATAATAAAAATATCGATTTTCCCCCTTTTTTTTCATGTCTGAAATTTCAGATTTTTTGGTTTTGGAACCAATTTTTATCGCGATTTTTTTCACTATTCTTTGGTCGTGGAGACATTTTTCAGCACGAAATTCGAATTTCCCGCGCTTTTTTACCCCTGGAACAACCATTTTTGAGCAATTTGTGCATTTTGTCGTAAGGTTCGGTGTTTGCACAGAATCGGCGCTACAGTAACCCGAAAACGCCGGAAAAATTGGTTTTAGGGTGGAATTTCGTCGGAAATTCGATTTTCAGCATGATTTTTGTAGGAAATTGAGAATTCGAGCTGAAAATGTTGCTGAAAATAAAAATAAAAATTTCAAAAAAAAATTTTTTTCGAAATTTCAAAATTTCTCATTTTTTCGAAAATCCATCAATCCTAGACAAGTTTAATATCAAAATTCGAATTTCCCGCGCTTTTCCATTCCTAGAACCACCTATTTTGAGCAATTTGTGCATTTTGTCGTAAGGTTCGGTGTTTGCACAGAATCCAAGCTACAGTAACCCGAAAGCGCCGGAAAATTGGTTTTAGGGCGGTTTTTCGTGGAAAATTCGATTTTCAGCATGAATTTCATCAAAAATAGAGAATGGGAGCTGAAAATTTTGAATTTTGCAAAAATTAAGAAAAAAAAATTTTTTTTTTTTTGAAAAAATTTTTTTTTCAACATTTTTTAATTTTGTTCCAGAAAATGTCCGAATTCTCCATAAAACGTCCAACGGCGTCTGAAACCGACGATGACCTACAGCAAATGCAAGAGGAATGGTCGAAAATCGCTCAAAAACCGTCTGTCGAAGTGCATCGGATGAAAAAGAGGACTAAAATGGCTGAAAATGAGCTTAAAAAGGCTGAAAATCCATCAGAAACACCTGGAAATTCAAATTTGGCGCCGAAAATCGATAAAAATGGGTCCGCCCGCTTTCAAATCGATTTGGACGACGATCAGACTGCAAAAGGCGTCCTTTTTCCGATCCAGGAGCATTTTTTGGATTTGGCGGGAAATTCAAATTTTGCGGAAAATTCAAATTTCGAATATTCCAAAGACGACGGCTTCCCGGAACCCTTGGATCTCTCGGCGTACTTCAAAAGTGGGCGGAGCCTGGATCAAAGTGGGCGGAGCTTCTTTGCCCAGGAATTCGATCGAATTCATGGCGATTTGGCTGAAAATCTAGACGAAAAATCGGACTTTTTGGCTGAAAATTTGGCTGAAAATCCCAAAAATCCAGATTTCCGCGCTGAAAATGAGCAATATCTGAAATCCCTGGATCCCCAAAAAATCGATAATTTGATGGCTGAAATCAAGGAGCGATTTGATCCCCAGATTTTGGAATTTTTGAAGAATCGAGGAGCCAAAAAAGCGGAAAATCCCCCAGGCCACGCCCCCAAAATCAGCAAATTCAAGGCGCAGAGGCTCAAAAAAGGGGCGGAGCCTATCCAGAAAGGGGCGGAGCTTCCCCAGACGACGACGGGAAAAGGGGCGGAGCTTCCACAGACAGCTGACGACAGGGACAAGCCTTTGGAAAAGGGGGCGGAGCCTATTACGAAGAACGTCGAGGAGATGATGAACGAGCTGGAGGTGCTGGACGAGTGGGCGGGGCAAGAGGACCAAGAGAAATACAATCGGCTGGCTACGGTAGGTAGGGGCGGGGCCTAAGTGGGCGTGGCTAAGCCAAGCCCACATTTTTGGGAAATTTGAAAATCCGAAGAATTGGACCTGAACTAATCAAGTTTTCATAGAAAATGGGCGTGGCTTATGCTTTCTAAGCCACGCCCACTTTTTTGAGACCACCAAAATTTTTGAAAAGTGGGCGGAGTTCAGAAAAAATCTCCTCGCATTTTTTTTCGAAAGTGGGCGGAGCCTAGAGATTTTGGACCCTCGAAAAAAGGGGGCGGAGTTTAGAAAACATAAGCCATGCCCACTTTTCGATCTGGTTTTGGGGCTTCGGAAATTTAGAAAAGTGGGCGGAGCCTAAGAATTGTTCGTAGCCACGCCCACTTTTTGGCCAAAATTCGAAAATCCAAAAAAAAAAGTGGGCGGAGCTTTAGGAGATAGACCACGCCCCCTTTTTTACACCAATATCAGAATGCGGAAATTAAGAGAAATGGGCGGAGCTTAAAAATGTCAATTTGAAAAAGTGGGCGTGACTTGATTCTCTAAGCTCCGCCCACTTTCCCTTTGACACCAAAAGCCCTAGAAAAATGTGGGTGGAGCCTAGAAAATAAGCCACGCCCACTTTTTGAACCAATGCAGAATTCGAGAGAAGTGGGCGGAGATTTAAAAAAAATACCTATTTTTAATAAGTGGGCGTGGCCTGCTTCCTAAGCCACGCCCCCCTTTCTTGACCCCATTTTATCGATTTTTGCAGGACGCCATCCAGCTGGATTTGACAGCGAAATTCAGTCGAAATTTGGCTCAACGGCAGCAGAGAAACGCGGTGAAGCTGTTCGATAATTGCAAATTCAAATTGGATGCAGAGGGGTACGGTAGTTGGAGATATTAAGGCTGAGCAATCGTTGAAAAATGAACTTTTGGGGGTTTTAGGGCGAAAAATTGGGCATTTTTGAGCTATTCAGAGCTCATTTTGAGGGTATTTGGGCCATAGGAGTACGGTAGCATTGAAATTAATGATGAGCAATATCTGAAAAATAAGGTTTTAAGAGAGCTTTTTAGGGCTTAAAATAGTCATTTTCAGCCAATTTTCAGTTCATTTAAGCTCACTTTTGGACCATTTAGGCTGATTTTGGACCACTTTAAAGCCATTTAGACGCATTTTTGGGCTGGGATACTGTAGTTTTTCGAAGTTAAGGATGAGCAATTGGGAGTTAAAAGAGGTTGTTGAGCGATTCTAGCTGATTTCTAGTCCATTTTCAGCCAATTCGTGGCGACTTTAGATATTTTTAGGAGTACGGTAGTTTTGAAATTGAGAAATTTAGGATGAGCAATCGCGAAAAAGCGCGAAAATGACCATTTTTAACCATTTTTAAACCATTTAGACTCATTTTTGACCTATTTTCAGCCATTTTAAGCTATTGTAAAGCGATTTTCAGTCAAATTTAAGGTTTTTGAGCCATTCTTTGGGGTACGGTAGTTTTGAAATTCGGAAAATCATCATTTTGAGCCATTTTTGGACATTTTCGGCTCTTTTTTGACCGATTTTCAGCTATTTTCAACCTATTTACCACCCTAAAGGTCCTATTTTCAGCCCCTCCGACGCTCTACTGGTGCTAGCTAGTTACGGTAGTTTGAAATTAAGGATGAGCAATCGCTGAAAAATTGGGGATTTTGAGCGATTCTAGCTGATTTTTAGTCCATTTTCAGCCAATTTGCGGCGATTTCAGCCATTTTTAAGCTATGTTGAGCTAGTTTTAAGGGTACGGTAGTTTTGAAATTTGGAAATTAAGGATGAGCAATCGCGAAAAAACTCAAAAATCATCATTTTGAGCCATTTTTAGATCATTTAGGCTCTTTTTTGACCGATTTTCAGCAATTTTCAGCCGATTTCAAAGCGATTTTCACTCAAATTCAGGGGTTTTAAGCCATTTTAGGGATACGGTAGTTTTGAAATTCGGAAATTAAGCATGAGCAATCACGGAAAAGCTAAAAAATGTCAATTTCCAGTCATTTTCGACCGATTTCAGCCCAATTTTCAGCCCCTCCGACGCTCTTCTGGAGGGGTACTGTAGTTTTAAGACTGAGCAATCGCTTTAAAGCTATGCCAGATCATTTCTAGTTGATTTTTTGGACGATTTTAAATCAAATTTGCGCGTTTCAGGCATATTTTAAGCTATTTTGAGCCATGTTTAGGAGTACGGTAGTTTTGAAATTCGAAAATTAAAGATGAGCAATCGCGGAAAAGCTAAAAAAAAAGTCAATTTTCAGACTCATTTTTGGCCTATTTTGGGCTGTTTTAAGCTATTTTTCACGATTTTCAGCCGAATTTCGGTGCTTTCAACCTATCTGAATCGATTTTCAGCCCCTCGGATGCTCTCCTGGAGCTGGCTCGCTCGCAAATCGACGAAATCAAGCGGCTCTATCTGGAAGAGCATTCCGACGGCCATCAGGTCATCTATGAGTTCGGGAAGGGCGTGAACCCAATCCTAGACCAATGCTGGTCCCTGATCCCCATCCGCCGCGTGCTGGATACTGTAGAACGACGACAAGGCCACGTGTCCCAGGATGACGTGGAGATCTGTCGACTATCGATTCTGTGGACCTATATGCTGTGGGCGGAGCGTAGATCGGCGTTCTTCGCGTTCGCCGAGCCCAACGACTTCTATATCCATCTCGCGGAGCTCTTCTTGATTGGACCCGAGATTCTGGCAGATGACGTCATCAAAAAGGCGACTCGGAAACTTCTGGAAGACTATGTCTTGGTGCAGGCGATCGCCGGAAAAATCAATATTCGAATGAGCCAGAAATTGGCTGGACTGGATGCCTTCATGCCGTTCTATGAGCAATTGATCAAGTGCTATGAGCAATACTCGATGGGTGATAACGACTTCACGATGGCGATTCTCATTGGAGCGTACTTGAATGCGCCTGTGGGGGAGAGGTAGGTGGATTGGGGGGTACTGTAGCTTTAAAGCTTGAAAAATGAGCAATAATGGGGCTGGGCAGCCTTAGAAATGCACAAAATTTGGCTAAAGGGGGGTACTGTAGCTTTAAGAATGAGCAATGGGGGGGGGGGGTTGGAGAGTCCGAGAAATGGGATTTGGTAGGGTACTGTAGCTTTGAGAATGAGCAATACCCAGAAACAAGCTTTTTTTTGGGATTATAAAGGGGTTGGGGCGATTAGAAGGCATACTGTAACTTTGAAAATGAGCAATAACCTTAAAATCCACCATTGGAGGATTAAAATAGAGTTCGAGAGCCTTTAAACGGGTGTGTTGGGATACTGTAGCTTGGAAAATGAGCAATGAGGATTGGAGAGCTCAAAAAATGCTTGAAATTTTGTTAAAGGGATACTGTAGCTTTGAGAACGAGCAATAGCCAGAAACAAGCCATTTTTGTGACTTTAAACGGGTTTGGGCGATTAGAAGGGGTACTGTAGCTTTAAGAATGAGCAATGGGTCGAAAACTAGGGGTTTAGGAGGTTCTAAAGCTTGAAAATGGGCGATTTCGGATTATTTTAACTTATTTAAGGCTATTATCAGGGGGTACGGTAGTTTTGGAATTAAGAATGAGCAATTTGCTCAGTTAAAAGGGTTACTGTAGCTTTTGAAAATGAGCAATAACTTTGAAAACCAGAATTTGGGGGTCAAAATGGCGTTTAGTGGGGTACTGTAGCTTTGAAAATGAGCAATAGGTGTTGGAGAGCTCGAAAATGGGCGATCTACAGTAATCCTAGATCAACCTTCCTAATTTTCGGCATAGTTTGAAGCGAGAGGGATACTGTAGTCTTTGAAATGAGCAATATCCTGAAAATTGACTATTTTAGGTTTAAAATGGGGCCTTGAGACCTGAAAATGAAATGGGAGGAATACTGTAGGTTTTGAAATGAGCAATAGCATCGAAGATCATCATAAAGGGGTAGCTACAGTAATCCTAGCTCAATTTCCTCGTTTTGTGGCTCCAAATTCCTCAAAACCCAAGGGGAATCCTGATTTTTAGCTTGAAAATCATCCAAATCCATTGACAACTGGTTGAGGTCCATCTACAGTAATCCTGGTTCAATTTTCTTGATTTCTGGCCTGAAATTCGTTAAAAATTCCGGATTTTTGGGTCGAAACCACTCTACTGTATCTGAAAAATGCATCGAAATCACTATCTACAGTAATCCTAGGTCGATTTTCTTGATTTTTAGCTTAAAATCTATTCAAACCTGCCAGAATATGTCCAAAAAAGGCCATTCTTGCACTGATGAAGATGCATGATAATTGACGTGGATACGGTCAAATTTGCTATCTTTGTCACCTTACATGAGTACAAAAATTGCCGAAAATATTGGAGTAGAAATAGGGAATAATAGGAATATATAGGAAGTGAATAATGGCTGAAAATCAAGCAATTTCAATCCAAAAATCGCTCAAATTGGCTTAAAATAGGCCTAGGAGCCTTCAATTTGGCTAGAATATAGCTAGATTTTGAGCTAGAAATGATTGGAATGCGACCATTTCAAAGCTAGAATCAGCTTAGCAGCGGCTCAAACCATTTTCTAGCTGATTTAGCTTGAAAACAGCTATATTTTAGGCTAAAAATGGCTGAAAATAAACGATTTTGAGGCCAGAATTCGATCAGAAGGGCTACCATATCATCACCCTGATGACGTCATCTCAGAATGATGCAAATTGTGATTTTTCAACACACACACATACACACACAACCGGAGAGGAGATGGGGGAATGAGACGACTGACTGACTGCCTGGCGTGGTTGTTATCTATCGAACCCAAGAGAGAGAATGTTCTAGAAGAAAGGGGGCGGAGCCTAGCTGGGTGTGGCTGTGTAGCGTCACCTGGCGCCAGCGAGGTCACTCTCTGCCGTCTCTTCTGGCGCCCTTTGTCTCTCTCTCTCTCAATGTCTCTAGCCTCTACCAGGCTGGCGCTGGCGTCTTCTGACACTGACGTAGTGCACTTTTCCGCGAACAAAGGGCTATTAGGAGGGGAGAGAGAGAGAGGTGATTCGGAATTTTTCGAAAAATTGCGAAATTTCGAAATTCTCCATGTGTTGAACGGAGAAGGGGGGAAAACAGAAGTGACTCATCAAGTCTCTCTCTCTTCTCTTCTCCTCTATTTCGTTTTTGAAATGATCAGAGGGCATTGGAGAAGACGCAACTGATATGATTTTTTTTTTAAATTAGGCTTAAAATGAGCTATGATGAGTCGAAAAGGACCAGAAAATCCCCTAAATGTGACCGAACATGGATATGAATAGACTAGTCTGAAAGAGTCTCAAAATGGCCAAAATCAGCATTGACAGGTCTGAAAGGACCATGTCACTGACTCTCTGTGGATGGATTAGGAGATAAAAATCGAGAAATTCGAGTTAGGATTACTGTAGATAGTGATTTCGATGATTTTTTCAGATACAGTAGAGCGGTTTCGACCCAAAAATCCGGAATTTTCAACGAATTTCAGGCCAGAAATCAAGAAAATTGAACCAGGATTACTGTAGATGGACCTCAACCAGTTGTCAATGGATTTGGATGATTTTCAAGCTAAAAATCAGGATTCCCCTTGGGTTTTGAGGAATTTGGAGCCACAAAACGAGGAAATTGAGCTAGGATTACTGTAGCTACCCATTTATGATGATCTTCGATGCTATTGCTCATTTCAAAACCTACAGTATCTCTCCCATTTCATTTTCAGGTCTCAAGGCCCCATTTTAAACCTAAAATAGTCAATTTTCAGGATATTGCTCATTTCAAAGACTACAGTATCCCTCTCGCTTCAAACTATGCCGATAATTAGGAAGGTTGAGCTAGGATTACTGTAGATCGCCCATTTTCGAGCTCTCCAACACCTATTGCTCATTTTCAAAGCTACAGTACCCCACTAAACGCCATTTTGACCCCCAAATTCTGGTTTTCAAAGTTATTGCTCATTTTCAAAAGCTACAGACTCTGTGGATGGATTAGGAGATAAAAATCGAGAAATTCGAGTTAGGATTACTGTAGATGGAGTTGAGGCAGCTTGTCAAGTATTTCAAAAAATTTTGAGCTTGAAATCGAGAAAATTGAGATAGGGATGACTGTAGAACCGACTTAACAGTGCATTTAGATTTCAAAATGGCTTGAGGGTTGTTAAAAAGAAAATGGAGCTTCTGGGGGTCA